ACCTTTGGAGGATCTATAAGGACAGCATTTTCCCAGCTTTGGTTCCTTTGAACGCCAGTTTCTCCATTTCTGCCTCATCCACAACCCACCTCTACTGGTGGTTACTTAATTTTTAAAAAATGTAATTCCCATCATTTTGCTTATGTAAGTTTGGCCCCATCCTAAAACAATGAGATCCATTAACTGTAGGGCTTGACTATCTAGCTGCATATTTCCCCCAGTGCACAAAAAAGAGAAAAAAGTCAATGTTACAACACAAACTGAGCACTACTGGGCACCTCGCACAGCCACGCCGCTGACCACGCTCGGTGGAAACTTCGAGGAGTGCCAGGAAGGCACCTCAGTGAAGGCCCTCCATAAGTGCTTTCTGGCTGACCACAGTGCGCCATCCCCACAACCTTGTTATCAGTGGTGCTCAAACTTTAGCTGCTGGAGAGCTTGTTAAAAGATTCCTGGGCTGCATCCGCAGAGATTCTGATTCAGCAGGTCTGGGGTGGGGCCTAGGAGCCTGCATTTTTAGCAAGCTGCCCCAGATGATGTTGATGTTGCTGGTCCAAGGACCACAACTTAAGTAGGTCTTGGGCTACTGGGCATCACAATCACTTGTAGGTGCTTAAGATGCAGATTCTTGGGCACTGCACACCAGAAATTGATTCCTCAGGCCTGGGTGGGTGCCCGGAATCTGATATATCAACCAGCACTCCAAGGAGCCTCCAGAGACCACCATTATTAACACCTGGAACTCACAGGTGAGGTGGAGAGGTGAGTGACCCGCATCAAGGTCACTCTGCAAATCAGGGACAGCTCCTCCTCCCCGTTGCTTGGGCCCTAAACCTCAGAGCATTCTGGACTTCCCTCTTCTCTCCTAAGCCCACTTCAGTGTGTCAGCAAACCCTACAGGCTCTTCCTTTGAAACATTCAGATTTTCTTGAAAAGTCTCCAGCACATGGACTTGGGAATGAGACAGTAAATGAAACAAGGCTGGTGAAACGTTGAGGATTGTTGAAACTGAGAGTTCATTTTATTACTCACAATTTTTATGTACATTTGAACTTTTTCCAAAAAGTTTTTATTTTTAAGTCTTGATCTAACAAATCCACTTCTGGGAATTTATCTTAATGAAAATTTTAGATATAGAAAAAGACTTACAAATAAAAATATTTTCCAAATAATAGCAGTGAAAAATTGGGAACATACTAAGTTCTCATAATAGGACAACAAGCTATGGGACACCCCTCAATGGAATTTTATATCATTAAAAACATTTATTCAGGCCATGTACCAACATGGAAAACATGATATACTATTAAGTGAAAACCAGGACATTAAATTGTAAATACTGCATGATTAAAACTCTGCAAAGACTTATATCTTTAAAAAAGACTGAAAATTTTTAAATGATTTTATACATGAAGAATCTGACCACTTCCCACCACCTTCAAGACAATAACCTTTGCCTAAGCCCCATTGTCTCTCTCGCCTGCATCCTTGTGACAGCCCCACATTGGTCTCCCTGCTGCTACCCTTCCTCCTTCCCATCTCTTCTCCACGTGGCAGCCAGAGAGGCCCTTCAAAAATGTAAATCAGGGGCTTCCCTGGTGGCGCAGTGGTTGGGAGTCCGCCTGCCGATGCAGGGGATACGGGTTCGTGCCCCGGTCCGGGAGGATCCCACATGCCGCGGAGCGGCTGGGCCCGTGAGCCATGGGCGCTGAGCTTGCGCATCCGGCAACGGGAGAGGCCACGACAGTGAGAGGCCCACATATCGCAAAAAAA